TAAAGCTACACTACAACAGAGATGGGGTGCCCTGTTTTGGTATAAAGTAAGGCTACACTACAACAGAGATGAGATACCCTTGTTTTGGTATAAAGTAAGGCTACACTACAACAGAGATGGGGTACCCTGTTTTGGTATAAAGTAAGGCTACACTACCACAGAGATGAGATACCCTTATTTTGCCGTAAAGAGATCTGTTACATACCCTATACAGATTTTCAACTACATTTGGCACAGACTTAAGATATTAAAACTGATGACAAAATACAGCTTTGAGATAGAGATAAAATATCCAAAAAAATCAGATTGATAACTGTTTATAAATCAATAAAATAAAAAATGAAAACGACGAACCCATCATAGGAATATATTTGTTTATAAATAAATAAGTGATCACATTATATAATATATATATATATATATATATATATTCTGTTCATTAAAATGTTTAATATATATATGTATATTAATATGTATATTTGCAAATCTTCCGGAAATGTATCTGATGTCAAATGACCTTTTTGATGTTAAGAGTGTAGGAACACATTAGCAGTATATATCATATTGATTCTAAGTGCAATATACATTGGTTTACATAATTGATATACATTGTTATAAATAGTAAGTATGCATCGTTACACACAGTAAATATACATTTTTATACATAGTAATTATACATTGTAAATACACATTGTAATACATAGTAAATATACATTGTTATAAATAGTAAATATACATTGTTAAAAATAGTAAATATACATTGTTATAAATACTAAATATACATTGTTATAAATAGTAAATATACATTGTTATACATATTTAATATATATTGTTTGTATATTAACTTTGATCTAATACAGATGGATCTAATAATGACCTTCTATGTTTGGTATTGTTGTATTACTTTAGTATAATTCATTCATCAAAAAATAATAACACGAGCTGTACTACGGCAATAGCTTGGATTGTAGTCGTAAAGAGACCGATGATCAAACTCGAATACATTATATTCATGATAATGTATACCGATGTTCTGTTGAAATGACGAGATGGAATTATCATTGAATATAACGTACACTCCATCAGCATTCCGTCAGGTCTTAAAACAGTAATTGGTTTGCTCTACCTAACCATATCAGTCACGATACTTAAAACTTGTGACAGTTAAAGACATAATGTGATAGTACTATAACAATACAAGTACACGCATCATTGACCCTTCTGATTTGTCATCTGAAACGTTGCTTCAAAAGATATGCTTCACTTGTCGAGACTTCATGAATTTTTCAAATATGAAGAACTAGAAATGGCGCTGAGGGTCCCACAGAAAAAAATCTAACACCAGTGTTTCTATGTATGATAATCGTTTGATTTGTCAACCGATCCTGATTTATCATTCATAGCTACGTAAAGTCACTAGTGCTTCATTAATAAAGTCGGGGACTAACTGCCTTTGGTGTAGAGTCGGAACGACTGAGTTTTGTGTATAGTATTAGTTAAGAATTATACAAATTGTTGATAATGTTTCCAAATGCTAATTCTAAAATCAAAGTAAGCACAGTAATTGGGCATTATTTGGCCTTTGTGACATACAGTTTGAATTGAGGTTTTGTTGACATGTGGTATATTGTTTGTTTGTTGCATAAAAAACCCAAGTATAGCAACAAATAAGTTTTAATAGCTTTCGGTGTAGTATAATTCCTGAAAATAGCATTTTTAATCATAAACAATACACTTTTATCTAGCAAATATTGATACAGCATTAAATGGAGAAATGTTAAGATATAGATGGGATTCATGAAATAAGTTGACATTATTTTAGCAGCCAAATCTAATCGGACGTAGTTAGCATCGCTGTCAGGTATTTTTGATAAGCAAGCAACGATTCTTTTAAATGACGTCAGTATATATCCCGATATAAATCGATAGTTAATATGATTTTTCTCATTTGAAAAAGTACTTGAGAGAAGTCGTTTCTTCATTCTTACGTAAATTATAGCAGACAAGTATTGTTATAAAGATTTAGTTATTTAAGTTAACAGGCAGCACACATTGTTATCAATAAATATTTAGTAATGTGTGTTATCAGACAAGCATTGTTATACAGATTCAGTAATGTCAGTTATCAGAAAACAAGCATTGTTATAAAGATTTAGTAATGTCAGTTATCAGACAACAAGCATTGTTATAAAGATTTAGTAATGTCAGTTATCAGACAATAAGTATTGTTATAAAGATTTAGTAATGTCATTGTTGTTATAAAGATTTAGTAATGTCAGTTATCAGAAAACAAGCATTGTTATAAAGATTTAGTAATGTCAGTTATCAGACAAGCTTTGTCATAAAGATTCAATAATGTCAGTTATAAGACAACAATCATTGTTATAAAGATTTAGAAATGTCAGTTATCAGACAAGCATTATTGTAAAGGATTTAGCAATGTCAGCTGTCAGTCAATACGCCTTTTATCAAAGATTTGATAATATCGTATATCAGTTTAATGTGATTTGATCATGCAAGAAATAAGTATATCCTTTAGCCATTATTATCAACCCATGATATATAAGATCGACATCATTTCTAAACATAAAGTTTGAATGAACAAAGAAGAGAATCAGCCATTATTAATGAACAAAAACGTAGTATTCTGTGATTAAATCATAAGGATCAAATTTGGTCAAGTTTTCCCATTTTACTCTTGATAATACATTAACATAAAAAACTTCCTGGTACAATTTTCATTCTCCGTGTAAATTTTTCTTTTCTTTACAATTTGTCCTAGTTTAATCGAATTTGAGTTTGAATTAATAATTCAATTGACATCTCGGTAATTTTATTGTTGTCTCTTTCATTTGTTATGACTCAATATTTAAGTAAGACATATTTGAATACAAGCATTTATATATTCATGATTTGATAAATATAACTTCAATACAATCCCCCTCCCCCCCCCCCCAAAAAAAAGATAAAATAAAAACCAAACACACTTGGGTCAGTGTTAGTACAGAGCTGTTATATGAGAAGTGGAAATTAATATTGTTAAAAAAGTATATTGAAATTCATTGCTTTCAGTACTTCATATTGTGTAAAGATAAACATGTCTAAGACCTATTATCACATTATTCATATACATGGAACACTAACTTCATAGAAAATACATGTTTGTCTCTTTGCTACGTTTAAACCAAAAGTTATTACATTATATCATCAATATCACGTCTACATATAGGCGGTCCTTTTCTGTAAGTGGCGATATCTGACTGACATCCTTTTTCAGTGTACTAAAATAATTAGCGGTAGTCGCTTGTTACATGGTCGCTAGACAGGCCTACATGGAGTTATAAAGTCACTTCACATATGGTCTCCTACGACCTTTAACAGGAGAGCTCGCTCCTGTCCTCCCAGCATATGCTCGCTATTTTTTTTATTATTTTGTGTGATTTTAGTATTTTATAGAAGATGACAGCTTCAGGTCCGCAAGGCGATTTGATTTCACGAAGAAAATCAGATAGAAACACTTTGTGTATCTCTTATTCACGTGTTTAGTGTAGCAGAACAGTATGTAAACATAACTATACAGATATATATAGATTATATATGTAACTTATTGTTACCACATAAGAAAGAAAAATCAACCTTTCTGTTTTTGATGAAATAGAATGTAAATGTTTTGTCATCTAGATACGTGGCTAATACATGTTTATATTGTTTACAATGATGGCTGTTAAAAAACAGGTGAGACTAAATAAGCACTGTTTATTATTTACTTATCAGATCAGTGTTGTAGAATACAGAGCATCGATGTATAATTATATGTTAATCTTTATGAAAACAACATTTTATTATTTTCAGTTGTAATCACTCATCCGTCATTGAAGGAGATGGTTATCAATGACGGGTCATCGCGTTCGCCAAGGTTGACATTTCAATAAATCCTCGGCTTTATCCATCTGATTCGTATTTCATACGAAACATCTGTTTTAACCACAAATGCTGCTCCACTTTCTCAGTCGCCTGAACACAATGGCACTGCCAACACAGATATTACAGTGCTAATCAACTAGTAATCACGGTCATGATGCGCTCTAGAATTGTTTCATAAGATGATACCTTGTTTTCAGTTAAAATTCCACAATTTTCAGGCAGAATATCTCCGTTCGTAAGGAGGAATACTGTATTTAAAATAGTGTGTACATGTCCCTCCTTATGAGAGTAGATTCAGGTAAAACCAACACACGTACATGTTTGCATGTATCGCTGTGCACTCAATAGAGGCATTTAACTAGTTATCTAGGTACACTTGCACCTAACATATTATGAATTTATTGTATTGTTATTGTTACTCTATTACCCTTACCACGATAAAGTGTCAAAACATAGATGTCAGTGAAAGTAAAGCCATCGACACCTTGTAATGTACCTCAGGTAAAAATTGCCCCTTAGTAACAATATTTGTAGTTAATGATACAAGGTAATTTATGTAATTAATCCGATTTGTTACAGCGTTTCCTCTATAAAAAGTGAAATATGTAATTATTTAATAATTAAATTAAGCTGGCATGCTAATCACGGTTAAAATTTCGTGCTGTCCTTTCTTTTATTAACCATTGTCATTAAAGTTTCATCCTAACCACACGCGCTAAGGCACGTCAAAGAGCGAGATGCCGCCCCGGTTCCACCTCGTGCGACACTAGTTTCCTCTCGGCCTAGCATTGCATATTTAATCAGCCTTAAAACCCGCCTCAGACGAGCTATGGTACTGATAACACCATCATTGTTAACACGGGGAGCCGTTTGTGAGCAACTGGAGAGATTTAATGAGCAGAAAATTGATTGATAATTTCCTACGCATGCGCGGCCATAGCTGTCTTAGCTAGGAGTTAGCATCACACGTTCCTGATTGGTTAAAGTATAGCTGTATTAAAAGTAAATTTATAAAAATACACTATGGCTATGTTAACAATTTTAAACTAGAAGGAACTGTCGGTGAGGAAGACACAATGGAAGTGCCCAGTCTACAACCTAACTTTTATCCTTCTATAGAACAGATCACAGATTTTCAAAAGTAAGTTCTACACTTTTTGATGTTTTAATTTGATGTTACCACTTATGGACAATATACAAAGTAATAATATCCAATACACTAGTATGGTATCTACCAGACATAAATACAAAGTACTGACATCCTTATCTATTTGTTTATTTTATTTATCTATACATTTCTGATAGGTAACAATAACTATTAATTTCGTTTAAGTACGATACAGCGGCAGCTACTTTTCCAGACAAATTTTTACAATGTGTTGAAATTGAGATAAACTTTTCTACGTATTTCGCAGTAAAATTAAATATGTACTGAGGCAATATTTTATGAAAAACATTTTTTGGTTTAGAAATATTTTTGTCAATGACTTTCAGAAAATGTTTGTGAAAAAAAATACATCAACAATGTTTTAAAAGGTACGATAATTGAAGGAGTTTAACACCACAATTTTACGTTTTTTCACACGACTGAAATTAATAAGTTATGTATAAGATATTTGTCTACTTAACTTAACATAATTTAATCGTCTTATAATTACTTATAATGCACTACACATGAATTGATTTCTCGATTCGATAATGTTCAATATTTATTTTGTCGTAGTTACTTTAATTATATGGGAAGCATATTTCTCATCTGTCGTCACAATTATTATTGCACAAACACCTTAAGAAATCACGACGAACACCTTCTGTGTGTGTAGGCCTATTAAGTAACATTAAAAGCTAACTTCAGCCAAGTGCAACAGATCTAGAAGGGCGTTTAATTACCGGGTGCGACACTATTATCTGGTGTACCAGTAACATCAGCTGTATGTTTATGGTTATTTAACTAAAGCCGATTTCAGTCATTAAATGGTGCACTTGTAGAAATTCTCACACGTACCTTGAATTCCTACCGTCCTAGCCTACCGTATGTTAGAACAGATTAATAATCTTAAAGATGTTAGATATTGAATTTCTCGTCATATGGTGCATTTTATACAATAAAAATGTGTAATCAATGTCTCCGATAGTGTTCTATATTACATCATCTGGAACATGTGGAATGCACAGCCAGCATGCACGTGAATTTTAATTATTGAGCAGGCGATGTAAACCTAGTATTTTATTATCACAGCATATTGAAATAAGATATTTCTTCATTAAAATGTAAATGAAAAGTGTGTGTCATTAGTTTTACTATCAAAGATATAAATCCGTCTTTCTGTATTGAATATATTTTTTGTACCTGTCAAGCATTCAAGAATCAGAATATTATTCCATCGTTCCTTTGTAATCTGTATATTGGTATTTAACGTAATGCTGTGTTCGAAGGAAAATTAAAATTCAAGACATTTCTGTTACCATTACTCCAAAATTTAAAACTGAATATTGAATTAAAATATGTAGTTAATAACATTTTGTAAAGATTATCCTGCGATAAATGATGCTATACACAGTTTGTAAATATATTCTATAATAATTATTTAATACATACTACGTCTTGGATCGGTAAAACAGCAACAGAATAATTAATGATACCTTTTCTATGATGATACCCATAAATATTGTGTAAATATTTTTCTTCAACCTCAAGATAGAGAATTCTGTAAATTGATGCAGCGATTCCCATACATTTAGAAGAAGCATACATCTAATATGCTTCATTGCATTGGTGTTGTGAATTATGATCTGGTTAACATGACATTATCTGTGTTGGTCCTTATGTTAGTGGAAAGAGAACAGCCCATCCGAAAGTACACAGTAGCAATTCTATCGATTTTCACCATAAACGGTTACGGTGTAAGATTAATGTCAAGTTCTGTAATTATTACCATTAAGAGTTATGTATTTAAGATGTCAGATTGAGTCGGTCTTTTTGATCTTGGTCATAATAATATTTAAAGATGTGGATTGATGGCCGATAGTCACGGTCACCTGTAAAACGTTTTACTGTAAACACATGTTCAAAATTTCCTCTACCTAACTATTTGAAAGATGGAAACCATGTGTATTTTTTAAATACCTATTTCACTCTCAATAAAGAAAGATTAGTAAAGGTAATAATATATCTTTAATCTATCTCTTTGTCATCGTTAATTAAGTCCTAAAGTTTACTTCGATTAAAGAGAAAACTCCATGACATAGAAGACAATGATTACAAAATGCTCCGAACTACTGACGTGTCTTTTGTCCTACGCACTATGACAAAATGTTTTATCAGTTAAGATAGTGTTACATTTATTCCGCTAGATGATTTTATGGCTCTTGGTGAATCTTAAAAGCCATAGGTTTACAAATGTACCTGTTATCTGTATCGATGAAAGAAGCACATTTTATAAACTTTCTTGTGTAGATAAAGTTTATTAAAATATGAAATATGGAGATAACATGTATATCAAAAGCGGAAGGTTAAGTTTTATATTGACAGCCACATATAAATTTATATAAGCGTTTGTACCTTCATAAGATAAAGTGAAATATAGTTGTTTTGTGGCATTTTCTTGTTATGTTTATGTAATATTCGAGTGGATCTTGAGTAGGATTTATAATTATGAAGTACTGATGTACTTGAAAGTGGAATAAATATTTATATATATCAAAAACTAGTTATATATAGGTGTAAACATGTATTTAGAGTTCTTTATGGTGTTATATCGTTTATTTGGTTTTACTTCATTATTATTTTTTCTAATCAATATGCTATATGGTACAGATCCATCTTTTTATTGATGGAAACTTATTGTTAAAAACATAATCGCTAATACAAGGGACACTATCTAACCCAAATATACACATTCACCTGCATTTATAGGAGGTGCCCGATGTAATTTCAAAAATGATAAAAAAATTTTCGTTAACCATATATTAATACCATTTCAGTAGGGCATTACATGTAATTTCTTTTATTCTAAAATATCATTAGAGTCGATTTAAAAATTTGTAATCAATCTGTTTTGACAGAATGAAGCAATATCTGAATCCTATATTCACATAGTTTTATACACACTGTCGACAGAATTTTTCCCCTATTAATAAAGAGCGCGATTTTAAGGATAGACGTAAAATATTGTGCACATTTGTGTCAAAGATCATATCATATTGGATGTTTCATGGTATGAATTCCTGATAGGAACTAATTTTTGTTTTATGATAAATATTGATTACTATTGGTTTTTCCTAGTTCATTTCCATATTTTAATGTTTTTAGTACCCTTGCTCATGTTTATATTTATCATTATAATATAAATCAACATATTTAAAAAAAAGAGCAAAGAGCAGTTTCGAAAAGATGCTAGCACAGGAATGAATATTAATTTAATGAGTTTTGAGAATAATCCTATCAGTAGATAAAATAATTCAACATACAGCTATTTCGACTTTACTGGATTTCTCTGTAATGGTAAGGGCAAAAACAATGTTGGAGAAAAAAAACTATGAAATATATAGCTTTCCTAATAATATGCTTGAAAACAAGAGGAGAGGCGTTTATGGAATTGATTTTGAAATTTTGAAATCGTCATCTCGGATGTACAGAAACTTTTGATGTAATAAAGTTTGTACATGTTTACACCTATATATAACTAGTTTACTATTATGTTTTTTGTTAAAATTATTTTAAAGTTTATTGTTGTTTGTACTCTTTCACTACAGGTGCAGGTAATCACCTGCTTATGGTTATGTTCATCCTATTTTTTGTGGGGTTTGGCCATTTACAAAATTATGTATGCTACGTCTCTACTTTCAAATGGATTTTCTTACTCTTTTTTTCTTCGCAAACCGGGAATGATCATGAAATCTGTGTATCCTTTGTATGTATGTATTAGTGGTAGTCTATGGGAAAGGATGATGAAGTTAGCAAGACACTGCGACAGACTGGAGTTCTCTCCATATTGCTGTCAAAATTCTTGATTTTTTCTTTAATATCATTAAAGCTGTGAGTCTATGTTTGTATGGAATTATATGTGTAAAATTTTGTTTCTGTTGAACGGAAACAATAACACTATGTAAAAATGTAATAACATTTCTTAGATATTTCCGATTATAAAAAAAAAAAAAAAAACAACAAAAACAAAAAAAAAAAAAAAAAAACAAAACAAAAAAGTGATAGGCTGATGGAAATTGAGATGAAACTTGAAACTTAGTTACTCAATAGAAAAAAAATTACCACATTGAAATCCCTGTGGTTTAATAGTTTCAGATTGCCTATCCAGTTTGCGTACATACCCAGCTTGTTATTGCTAATTTTCTATTCATCATTTCAGCCAGTCAGTTCCATGAATACCTAGTAGAAAATGCTATACGTAATTCAAGTTAAGACTATTTAGATGATAAAAAATCGTTTGGTTAAAAGTTTCCCAGAAGTTTTTATTTCGATAGTTCTTTCATTCGTTCTTTATGTTCCCTTTAGTTGTTTTGATTTCGATGCATGGCTTTGATGATGTCGTACACATTGTTTTTTTAACATTTGATGTTAATAATGTTGTACACATTGTCTTGTTTACATGTAATGTTGATGATGTCGTACACATGGTCCTGTTTACATCTGATGTTGATGATGTCGTACACATGGTCTTATTTACATGTGATGTTGAGGATGTCGTACACATTGTCCTGTTATATCTGATGTTGACGATGTCGTACACATTGTCCTTTTATATCTGATGTTGATGATGTACACATTGTCCTGTTTATATCTGATGTTGATGATGTCGTACACATTGTCTTGTTTACATCTGATGTTGATGATGTCGTACACATTGTCTTGTTTACATGTGATGTTGATGATGTCGTACACATTGTCTTGTTTACATGTGATGTTGATGATGTCATACACATTGTCTTTTTTAACATCTGATGTTGATGATGTCGTACACATTGTCCTGTTTATATCTGATGTTGATGATGTCGTACACATTGTCTTGTTTACATGTGATGTTGATGATGTCGTACACATTGTCCTGTTTATATCTGATGTTGACGATGTCGTACACATTGTCCTTTTATATCTGATGTTGATGATGTCGTACACATTGTCCT